CCCCCCACCCCCCTTTCAGTGCTTAGGGTTTGGCTAAAGATCCACCCCAGCAGTCTGATTGTGCAGAAATAGAAGAAGGGATTGGGAAAGTACTGCTCTTCCCTTCCCATTTCTCATGAAGTCTCTCAAAGACTGGTGGCAGGGAGACCACAGGAAGGGAGCCAGGCCTCAGAAAGAGACAGATCCTAGACAGCTAATAAATAATATTAAATAAATAACAATAAAGAGATAGAGACCTTGGAAGAGAATTGAGATGTCTTTTAGTCCTACCCCTTCATTTCATATATAAGGAAACTGAGGCACAGAGAGGTTGAGGGATTGGCCTAGGTCACACAGGCATTAAGTGGCCAAGCTGGAGTCTAAACTCAGCTTCTTGCCAATGTACTTCACATAGCTATGTGGCACCTCAAGAGAAGGCTTCATCGGGCAGAAATCCAGCTGGAGGTCTACCTTGAAGAGGAGGCTAACGCCCGTCCAACAAAATCTACAAACTCTTTGCAACTTTAGGCAAGCACAGTCCACAGTTTTTCCCTCCCTGGACAGATGGAGATAAAAGAATCCCCCTTCATCCCACCCCGGTAGTAGTAATACTATAAACATTAATTGGTGGAACCCCACTCATTTTGCAAAGCACATTCTCCCCTGGTCTCTCATTTGTCCCCCACAGCAAGAGGTAAGGGGGGCAGGTATTATCATCCCTCTTTACAGACGAGGAAACCGAGGCTTAGTAAAGGTAAGTGACTTGGCCCTGGTCACCTGGCTAGGCAGCAGGGCTAGGACTCTAACCCATTTCACCTGCCTCCCAGATAAGCACCATACCACCTCCCCTTCCCCCACTTTGCTCTCCCTTCCTCTACCACCTAAACATTTCTTCCTCAGCCCAGGATTAGCCAGGGGTGGGGAGGGGGCGGCAATAAACGGAATCATCAGGAAGGGGAAACAGCTCATTAGCTTTTACCTTCCATCTCTCTGTACTCAGAAGACTGAGAAGTAGGAGGGACCTCAGATATCAGCCAAACTGACTTCACAATCTAAACTTGAGTATTATCTCCCTAACCTAGCCTTAAGAAAATCTCTCTAAATCAAATGACCTTTCTCGACTGTGGGATCCTAGCTGCCACTGTCATTCCCACACAGCTTTACTGAAACACAGTCCCCATAAGCAGAGGGGAGAAACAGGCAGACAGGTAAACCGGCAAAGATCGGCAGAGGGACATAAAGGGACGGGGCAGCCAAAAGGCAGGAAGGTCCAGAAGGAAAGCAAAGGACTATGTAACCACTAGAGTTTGCAATGCTGCAGCCTATTTTTTGGTTCTTATCCCTTGGCCCCTGTTCCTTGGCCTGTGAGGAGATATTGGCAAGAACTCTGGGAAGGCTCTCTCCAAGAAGCTTTAGTGAGACTCATTGGATGGCTGTACAGTTAGTTTGCAATATGCCACGCAAATTATCATGTTCCAGTCGATCCCCAAGCACAGTTGGGCAAAGACAGACAGCTGGGGACTGGGGGAAAAGAATTCTAGTCACATGACATCAAGCAAATGACCTAGGTCCAGAACAAAGGAGGGGAGGAGGCAAGCCCACTGTAATCTCTACTTGTGGCTTTACACCTGGAATGCCACCTTTTCTTTTTCTTTTTTTTTTTTTAATATTTTCTTTTTCCCCGGTTACATGTAAAAACAATTTTCAATATTCGTTTTTAAAACTTTAAGTTCCAAATTCTCTCTCCTCCTTCCTCCTTACCCACCCCACAATGAGAAGGCAAGCAGTTCGATATAGTTTGTACTTAGGCAAAACATATCCATAATAGTCATGTTGTGAAAGAAAATATAGACAAAAAAAAAAACTCAAGAAAAATAAAGAAAGCAAAAGAAAAGTATGCTTCAATCGGTATTCAGATACCATCAGTTCTTTCTCTGGAGATGGATAGCATTTTTCATCATAAGTCCTTCAGAGTTGTCTTGGATCATTGTATTGCTGAGAATAGTAAAGTCATTCACAGCTGGTCATCTGTGTACACAGTACATTTCACTTTGCATCAGTCCATGCAAGTCTTTCTAGGCTTTTCTGAGAGCACCCTGCTCATCATTTCTTATAATAGTAAACAACAGTATTCCATCCTAATCACATATCACAACTTGTTCAGCCATTCCCCAATTGATAGGCACCCCTTCAATTTCTAATTCTTTGGCCCCAGAAATGAGCTGCTATAGATATTTTTGTACATATAGGTCCTTTTCCTTTTTATCTCTTTTAGGATACAGACCTAGTAGTGGTATTGCTAGGTATGCAAGGTTTTATAGCCCTTTGGGCATAGTTCCAAATTGCTCTACAGAATGGTTGAATCAGTTCACAACCTGGAATGCCAGGAGGTGGGTAACCAGGATGGGAAGAGGACTCAAAGTCATCTGAGAACCTGTGGAGGAACAGAGGATGCTTAGCCTAGAAGAGAGTACATGTGTAGGAGAGACAAGAACTCAAGCATGAGGAAAGAAGCCCTGAGGGCCCCCTTGAGCAGGGACTTGTGGCTGGAAGCTATGTGGAGACAGATTTTGCCTCAATATGTGAGAAAACCTCCTGTTAGAGCTGTCTGAAAATGGAATGCACTGCCCAATTATGTAGTGAACTTTCCAGCACTGGAGAAGCTCAAGCAGAGGCCAACGGGAGGTCAATGGCTTTAGAGTTCAAAGACCTGGGCTTAAGGTTTAGCTCTACCCAGCACCAACTCTATGACCTTCAGGGAAGTCATCTAATTGCTCTGAGCATCAGTCTCCACTCAAAAAAAAAAAAAAATAGGGTTAATCCTACTTACACAATCCACTTCTCGGACTTGTTATAGAAAGAAAAGGAAACATCAACTGTAAAGTGCCATGAAAAGCAGGAACATTTTAGTGGGCAAGTCACTTTCATTTTTGTGCCTCAGTTCTCTCATCCATAAAATGGGAAGAACACTTGTACTAGGAAATGAGGCTCAAAAAGGATAAACTGCCTGGCTCTGGAGAATACTGAAGAAATTCTGATAGAAAGATGATGGCCTCAAAGTACAGAACTGACTCATTTTCTTCTGCACATGTCCAATATAGGAATTTGTTTTGCTTGACTATACATATCTGTAATGAAGATTTTCTTCTTCTTGCTTTTTCAGTGAAAGGAGAGAGAAGTGAAAAGATGGATCTTTGTTTTGTTTTGAAACTTAATTTTTAAAAATCCTGAAGAAAAACTGCAGGAGATCCTGGGTTCCAGTTTTGCCTTTGTGACCTTGGGTAATATCCACTTTGGGTCTCCATTTCCTCCTCTATCAAATGAAGGAATTGGTCAAGCTGGTGAGCTCTGTCACTATGACTCAATCTTGAGGCCTTTAAGGTGTATAAAATCTGTAGTGTGGTAGAAATAGTTTGTGGTTTGGCCATCCTTTACTGCCTGTGTGACCTTGGGCAAGTCATTTTAACTCCCTAGGCCTCAGTTTCCTCCAATGTAAAATGAGGAGGTTGGCTAAGATGGCCCCTGAGCTCCTTTTCCAGTGCTGACTGCTAATGCTCCTCTCATTGTATAGGATTCTGTTCTCTTCATTACAGTGGTTTTGGGGTCTCTTTAGGCTCTGATGTTTTGAGACCCTGGTCAGCATAGGGACCTGATCCTGTAGTTTCCAAGGTCACAAAAAATTCAACCCAGACTTAAACATGGCTTCCCTTTGGCCTTTGAGGAGGGCTACTCCATGTCTGTCTAGGGGATGATTAGTCCTCACCCTCCCTGTCCTCTCAGGTCACCTTCTGTCCCAATTGGCATTTCTATTGGGGAGGTCCATGACTACAAGCTGTTTATTAAACTTGCCATTCTGGAGGAGGGAGGATAAGAAGACCTCTGCCCCACTCGCCTAGGCACACCTAGTCGGCAAAATGACTGTGCCTGGAGGTTCCCACTTCTCTCTGCCGGCCCAGCAGTGGAATAGAATCCCTGGAGGGGAGTTGCTGCTGTTATTTTTGCCACAGGGTTGGCCTTACTTCTTCCTGGCACACGTGAAGGTTCAGATGCAGACATCAGTCTATTTCCAAATTGGCCAGAGCCCTAGCTGTCTGTGGGGTGGGACAGACTCATGACTAGCTGTTAAGAAATAGCCATGTAACCCACTCTCCAAACCAAGGCAGGGAAGCAGACCCACTTTGTGGAAACTCAATCCTGCTTATTTCATCTGGTAAAATAGGTGGATCAACTAGGGACCCTTGGCTCTCTCCTATTTATTTCTACCTCCAGGGCACTGCCCAGGAGGAGGCCTCCCCAGACTTCAACACACAGCACCCGAACTCGAGAGGAAAAAAAAGGATGTCTGAGGTCTGAGCCCAGAGGAACAAGGGGGTGGAGGTGGGGGTGGGGAAGGGAGGGGGGCATCGTGACTGCGGAAGTCAGGCCAGGGAGAAAAATCTCCGTCTCCTCTTCCCCTCCCTCCTCCTCTTCCCCTTCCTCCTCTTCCCCCCCCCCCCCCCCCCCCCCCCGCCCCAGTTTCTAACTGCAGAGCGCAGCCCGGAGTGCGTGCTGTGAACAGCCGCACCACGAAAGAAGGGACAGAACACGCCCCCCCCCTCCCCCGGCGCCCCCAGATGCCTCAGGTGCAAGGCGACTCGGCTCTCTCCGCGACGCCTCACCCAGGGCGCCCCGCAGCCCTTTCTCCAAGGGGTGCCCTCGCATCCGGCGCCCAGGGGCTCCTGCTGCTCTCCCGCCTGGAGTTCGCCAGCGCGCTCCGTTACCGCCCTAGTAGCTGGCAGAGAGCCTCCAGGCCCGGGCCGCCATCACGCACTGGGGCGCCTCGGGCACATGGCCCGCACCCTGGCGGCCCCTCGATGCCCCGCGGGCCCACACCGGGAGGGCTCCGGCTCCCCGCACGGCCCGGGCCCGGAGCGCCACTCACTCCCGCCATCCCGCAGCCCCCAGCAGCGCCCCGTGCTCCGGCCTCCCCGCAACTCCCCGCAGCCCCCCGCGCTCCAGTCTTCCTGAAGCCGCCCGCTCACCTCGGGCTTGGTGCGGTTCTGCAGCAAGTGCTCCAGGTAGAGGTCGGACAGGGCCGTCCGCATGCTGCTCACGCTCTCCCTCCGGCTCGACTTGAGCGTCATTTCGGGCCAAAAGCGAGCCTGCCCGAAGCCTGGCACCGCCGGAGATGCGGCCGGGCACTGACTGACTGACTGATCGGCCGCCGCTGCCGCTGCCGCCGCCGCCACCAGGCAACCGCCAGGAGCTCAGCGATCCCGAAAGAAAACGGGAGATGAGCCGGGGAGGGAGATAGAAGGAGACTGGGGGGAGGAGAGAGAGAAAGAGAGAAAGAAAAAAAGAGAAAGAGAGAGAAGGAGAGACCGAGAGAGAAACGGAGAGAGCGAAAGAGACGGAGGGAGAAGGGCGGAGGAGGCGGGGGCGGGGGCGGAGGTGGGGGAAGGGGGAGGAGCCACGGCGCCGCCGACGCCAACGGGGGGCAGGCGACCTGCAGATCACCCAGCTCCCACAGCCCCGCCCCCGCCGCCGGAGGCCCCGCCCCTGGGCTGGTTCTTCCCCCAGGCCGCCCGGTCAACCACGCCGTCAGGGAGAGGCCCCGCCCCCGGGGCTGAAGCGCCGAGCCGGGAAGAGGCCCCGCCCCCGAAGCTGGCTCCGCCCTCAGGCCGCCCTGTCGGCCGCGCCGAGCAAAGGAGAGGCCACGTCAGCCTGGGCTGGTCCGGCCCAGCCTGCGGAGCTCCCTGCAGCTCGGGGTGATACGGTGGGGAGCCGAATCTGTGCCTTCCTCTGCGCCGCAGGCACCGCCCCCGTTCCCCTAGCTCCGCCCCAGCCCCCTGCCCTCCCCCAAGCCGGTACAGGACAGCCGGCTGCGGGCCACCCGCCTCGGCCCTGGCCCTTCCGAACTTCATTTCCCCTCCCTCCTGCCGAGCCCGCCTTGGGGGCTGCAGTGGGTGCAAGGGCCAGGAAGACGACACGAGGAAATAGCCATTAGGGTCCACAGCAGGAAAGGGATTTTGGAGGCGGCCACCGGCATGCGGAACCACGATCAGTCCAAGGACCTAGATCCCCGAGTTCCGACTCTAACGGAGCCTTGCTTCTCACTTTCCAGCACTTTCCATTTCAGCTGGCTGGCTCCCTCCAGCCCTTTCTAACACTTACTTTGGGAAAGGAAATTTTACTTTGAAAAAGCTTTCTCCTACTTCTTTTTCCCCTATTCTCTTTCCCCTACCCCCTTTTTCTCTATCGCCCTTTCCCCCATCCTAGTTGAAAATCGACAGTGAAGTGTAGATGCCAGCAAACATACGCTAGGAAATACTCGCTTAAGCAAACTATGCGGAAAGTAAACTCTTTGAAGAAGTAGGAGGAAAAAATTCCAGACTATGGTCCAAAGGGTGCTGGGTGGTTGGCTTTGATGCCTTTTCAGGCCATCCAAACGTTGGGGTGTGAGTGAATGCAAGGCCTGGCTCAGCTCAGCCCGGACAATTTCTGGACCTCTGAAATCACTACTGGGTAATGGGGCCTCCACCAAAGAATAACTTGCAGTAGTCACTCTATAAAAAAGAATGGTAGTGTAAATTCATAAGTAATACCAAGGATCTAAAAGGGCAAAGTGGCTAAGAGGGCCCTGTGTCTGTCAGTCACTCAACATTTATTAAGCACCTGCTATGTGGCAGTCACTGCTGAGCTCTGGGGATACAAAGAAAGGCAAAAGACAGTCCCTGCCCTTGAGGAGTCCACAATCTGATTGGGGAGACACCAAGCAAAGGAAGATGTACAAACAAGCTATAGACAGGATATATAGGGAATAATTAAGAGAGAAGGCACTAGGATTAAAGATGTTGGAAAAGATTTCCTGTAGAAGATTAGAATTTGGTTGGGGCTTAAAGGAAGCCAAGGAGGTCAATAGTTAGAGTAGAAGAGGGAGAGTGTTCCAGGCATGGGGGACAGCCAGAGAAAATGCCTAGAGTGGGGATATGGAATGTCTTGTTCAGAAAACAGCAAAGAGGCCAGCGTCACTCGACCAAAGAGTACATGAGAATGGAGAGGGGGGTAAATTTTGAAGAGCTTCAAAAATTGAACAGAAGACTTTATATTCATGGAGGTGATGGGGCACCACTGGAGTTTATTGAATAGGAGGTTGAAGGGACCTGAGCTTTAGGAAAAAAGCCACTTGGGTGGCTTAATGGAGGATGGACTAGACAGGGTAGAGACTTGAGGCAGGCAGACCTACCAGCAGACATTCAGTAGTTCAGGTCTTTGATGATGAGAGCCTGCACCAGGGTGGTGGCAGTGTCAGAGGAGGGAAAGGAGCATATTTGAGAGATGTTGCAAAGGTGAAATGGAGAGCTTTGGCAACAGCCTAGATGAGGGGGGAAGGAGTTGAGGAAGACACCTAGGTTGTGAACCTAAGGGATTCACACCCTGAGGGACCACAATCCAAGGAGGATGGTGGTGCCCTCAACAGTAATGGGGAAGTTTGGAAGGGTCCTCTTCCAAAGGGTTTAAGGGGAAAGATAATGAGTTCAGTTTGGATCATGTTGAGTTTCAGATGTCTACTGGACATCCAGTTCCAGATACTTGAAAGGCAGTTGGAAATGCAAGACTGGAAATATGGGAAGAGATTGGAGCAGAATAGGTAGATTTGAGAATCATCAGCATAAAAATAGTCATTAAATCCAAGGGAACTGATGAAATCTCCAAATGAAGTAGTCTAGAAGGAGAAGAGAAGACCCAGGACAGAACCCTGAGGGACACCTATAGTTAGAGGGCATGATCTAGAGGAAGGTCCTACAAAGGAGACAGAAGGAACAGTCAGATAGGCAGGAGGAGAACCAGGAGAGAATAGGTGTCATGAAAACCTAGAGAGACAAGAGTATCAAGGAGGAGAGAGTGATCAAGAGTGTCAAAGGCTGCAGAGAGATCTAGAATGAGAATTGAAGAAATGCCATTAAATTTGGCAACTAAGAGATGAATGAATGGAGCATTTATCATTGATAGCTTTGGAGAGAGCAGGTTCAGTGAAATGATGAGGTTAAAAGCCAGATTTAAAAGAGCGAAGGCCAAGATGACAGATTAGAGGCAACCCAGCTGAACTCTCTCAACATTCTCCTCTAAATAACTTTAAAATAATGCCTCAAATCAAATTTTGGAGTGGCAGGGTAAAACATTGTCCAGCCTAAGAAAACTTAGGAGGTCAGTGGAAGAAATTTGTGACACCAGGATGGAAGCCTGTCACATGTCACTGCAGCAATAGAAGGGCCACAGCAGCAACAGCAGCAATTTTGGGACCTCTCAGCCAGAGATGGTGAGGGGGTCGGACAGTCAGTCAGAAAGAGATTACAGGGGATCCTTTGCTGGCACTGGGTACTGCTGGTGCTAATTGGCAACTCTATTATCCATACATAGTTCTAGAATAGAATTGCAGTTCCAGGTCGGAGAGGAGTGCTGGAGGTCAGTCACAAGGGAGTAGAGGTCCTGGTTGCAGTTCCAAGGCAAAGAGCTCTGCTAGTGCTTGTGGTTGCCAGGAACAAAGTGCTCTTCCTGGCTACACTCTTGCTCCCACTGACCCCTAGTGACCTGCTCATACTTTTTTTTATACATCATTTTTGTTGTTGTTGTTGTTGTTGTTTTTTAAGCAATTGGGGTTAAGTGACTTGCCCAGGGTCACACAGCTAGTAAATGTGTCAAGTGTTTAGTCTGAGGCCAGATTTGAACTCAGGTCCTCCTGACTTCAGGGCCGGTGCTCTATCCACTGTGCCACCTAGCTGCCCCTCATACATTCTTTTCAATAGTATATTCCACAGTTCCCTGAGTGATGCATGAGTGGTTTTGTTAACATGGAGGAAGCAAAGGAGTTCAATAATGAACTACATTGGAGACACAATCCATAACAGCAATACAAGCACAAGTAGGAAAACAACACAACCAACAAGAAAATTACCACAATTATTAAAATATCCTTCCACCCTAGGGAGGTGAAGAAAGAGTCAATGGTATTTGGTGATTGTAGGAGAACTGGATTTCTGAACTTAAGTTATTACAGGCTAGCTAAATTTCTGAACTAAGGTCAGGGACAAAGAAACATGACTTGGGCAATTTTACAACACATTAGGGGTGATACGGAATGGTATTAGATTAATTTGATTTTCTCAGTTTCCCCCTTTTTGTCAATGGGAGACTTGTCACAATTTTCCCTGACTGGTTAATGTATGAGGAAAAAAAACTAAAACAGCTCAAATCTTCCAGTTCTGATCTTATTAAGTTTTTACATGCCCCATTAGAATCACTTACATTTGACATATATGATCTTCTGATTTTGTTGCTTTCTCAAAATTTTCCATTCCAGTCAATTAATTCCAATTCCCTTAGGAGTATCAGATGCTATTAAGGATCTAATCCTATATATAAAAACATAGGTGACTATACTCTTTGCAAGTAAATTCTTTTCACCCCTAGGTTCAATGGTTACACAAATGAATTTACTTACAAAAGGCTGACTATACTCCAATTGTAACAAAAGTCTTGGGATGGGATATATAGATACACTAAGTAGTTAATTCCCAATTGTATACAGAGTTATATCAAATAAGTGGTCTATAGTAAAACATGCTCAGTTGCTTGTTGTTGTTCAATAGTGCCCAACTCTTCATGACCCCACTTGGGATTTTCTTGATGAAGATACCGGAGTGGCCATTTCCTTCTTCAGCTCTTTTTACAGATGAGGAAACTGAGGTAAACAGGGTGACGTGACTTGAATTCAGGAAGATGAGTTTTCCTGACTCTCAAGTCCAACATTCTATCCACTGTGCCACTGAGTTGTTAACCATATTCCAATGGAATAAACATTACACAAATGTTATTCTCCACTAAGATGACTGATTGCAATGAAACTCTATTCCTTAAAACAAAACAGAAGAGGTTTCTGACTTTAATCTCACAAATTAATAGATTCACATCTTTGTTTCATAAGCTTTTCCCCCCCTTTGTCCAATTATTCCCATAGCATTCTGAAAGAATGAAATACTTCAGAGATTTAATCTTATACATGGCTATGTAAATATTAGCAGGCAGAAGACAAGCCCAAGCACTAATTTACTTAGTTGTTTGGGATATGGAATGACCACACATTTCAGATTGAAAACAGTAAGATCGCAAATAATTGCATTGTGCTCAAATCTTTTACTGACCACCTGCTCTGATGATAGAAATTTGCTATAAAAGGAAAAAGGGACATGATTATAACAGCATACTGGTCCTCTAGGGCCAAAGGTTCCCAAAGTGGGATACCTCCCCCTGGGGGCAGTGCTAGAATGATCCAGGGGGGTGGTAGTAGTCTCAGGTGCAA